CACATCATGAGCAGACAGCAAAGCTTAGAGAAGACAATTATGCTGTGGAAAGTGGAAGGCAAAAAGGAAGAGGGGCCGACCAAGGGCAAGATGGATGGATGGCATCCTTGAAGTGACTGGACTGACCTTGAGGGAGCTGGGGGTGGTAACGGCCGACAGGGAGCTCTGGCGTGGGCTGGTCCATGAGGTCACGAAGAGTCGGAGACGACTGAACGAATGAACAACAAGCAATTCCCAGAAAAAGTACCTAATGCCATTTAAAAGAAATTGCTGACATCAATACGGTAATTAGGCAGATTAATTTTCTATGTGTCCATATTCTTTGCTGAATAGGCAATAATAAACATTGGCAATTTTATTTCTGAACCTAAACTACTTACAGAGATCAATGTATTGTCGAAGGCTTTAATGGCCGGAATCACTGGGTTGTTGTAGGTTTTTTTGGGCTATATGGCCATGTTCTACAGAGAACATAGCCATATAACAGGTGTAGAAAAGGAGAAGAGATTATCAGCACAAAACAATGCTTGCCTGTCCCTGGTCCACAGTAAAGAACCATATAATATACTACTATTGTGTTCTATTTTTTATTCACAAATTTATTTTGCTCCAGTTTATTCTTTACAAAGAAAAACCTTTCACCTTTGCAAGGAGGACCGTAAGTTCAGTTTTAAGAGGCTGTTTGCATTCAGCTTTCATTTCAAGTCTGGTTATTTTAAAAGAAAAAAAAAAGATTTCAAAGTCTGTAATTTTTATACATTCCCCACACAAGCAGCACATAATAGACTAGGCTGTTGTAGGGTTTTACGGGCTATATGGCCATGGTCTAGAGGCATTCTCTCCTGACGTTTCGCCTGCATCTATGGCAAGCATCCTCAGAGGTAGTGAGGTCTGTTGGAACTAGGAAAAAGTTCCAACAGACCTCACTACCTAGTTCCAACAGACCTCACTTCCTCTGAGGATGCTTGCCATAGATGCAGGCGAAGCGTCAGGAGAGAATGCCTCTAGACCATGGCCATATAGCCCGAAAAACCCTACAACAACCCAGTGATTCCGGCCATGAAAGCCTTCGACAATATATAATAGACTAGTTTGCTGAATGCAGAACCAAGGCACTTTGTGGAATTCTTGCTTATCTGATATTGAGATTTATTGTACACTGTCCCCAAAACATCAATTAGCATTGAAAGATGGAATGTAGCTCTTAGAAATAAAATAGTATTATACAAAGTTGGAAAAAGAAGGATGTTCACTAGAATTGAGTTAAATACCACTTCTTATCATCATTCCTGGCAGTATGTATTTAGGTCTACCAGTGTGGTACAGTGGTTTGAGTGCTGGACTGACACTGAGAGACCAGAGTTCACATAACTGTTCAGCTATGGAAACCTGTGGTGTACATCAGTCAAGTCACATTCTCTTACATTACAGAGGACATCAGGCACAACAACAACATAAGTAGTGAACTGGGTGTAGGACTGAGGAAACCTAGACTCAAGTCCTAGTAGACATGAAAACTACAGGTAGCATTAGAAGAATTACTATCTCACATGTTTACTGTAAGGATAAAGTGGAACACTGAGTTTATTGGAAGAAAAATACAAATGTTGTAAATTAGTTTTTCTTCCATCAGAAGACAGTTTCTAAGTGTGTGTCATCACAAAAACTGTTGCCTAAATATCTTTTCCGAATCTAGGTAAGTTATCCTTTGCTGATATAGCCTTATACTTAGCTTCTCCCATCTAGGTTTCATTTCTACAGTATGTTACAGAGATCTAAAATTATGTTGCCCACCCCGCATTGCTGTGATACCTCCTTGAACTACATACATCTCAATGTAGGCTTCCCAATGTATTTTGCCTATACATCACTCTGTTCTGATAAGGAAGATCATCTGCAAGCAGCTCCATCCACCAGAAATTTTAGTATTTTTACAAATTACCGAGACGTGCAAAATTTATATCTGTATATGACACTGTTGAACTAAATCAGTTCAAACATTAAATATCATTGTGCGGCAACATATGTCTATTTTGAACTTTTGCCCTTTGGTAAAATATTTTGCTATCTCAACATATGAAATGGTCAAGAGATTGAGCTTGAACTGTATTATATGAGTCAATGCTGACCATAAAATGCAGTTCAAACAGCATTATTTAGCAGTGTAGATCTGGTCCAACTTGAAAGGGGAAATCTTCTGGGAAGGCAGAGGAATGCCTCTCCATCACTTCCACAATACACTGTTGGAGAACCACCTCACACTATCATGGTACTTCACTTTTATTAGCTCTGTACTGGAGCAAGATCCATACAACAAGCTCATCTCTCCTAATGCTCTTATTTCATTCTACCTTAAGAAAAACATTGTACACAGGGACTCTATTGCACACTTTAAAACATAATCGTAGCCTCACTTTTAAAAACATTACAGCACGTTCATCATCCCATTCCTTAACTTTGAAACAATGTCCTCTATCAAATATTAGGTGCAATACTCTGCCAACATCCCTCTCCAAATATGTATTAGGGGACACAATCCATAATCTTTGTATTTTATACAATTTAGAAAAAGAAAACTTGCTACATTTTATATATGTGGAGTTTGTTTCCAAAAGGTACCAAATCCATTTTAAAATGAATTTTAAGTGTCAGCACATTGCTGTCTATGAGTAGATTATGTAAAGATCAAAACTATCAAAATGTTAGTAAATCATTTGGGCTCTGGGCTTGGAAAATTGCATTTAATATCAAAAGAATGCATATCCTCTGCTTTTTTCCTTCAATTTCTATAAATCTTATTCAGATTGACTTACATGTAAACCTGCCTCCTGGTAACAATTCTTCACTATATTTAATGAGCACCCCTAAATTCCAGAATACATTAAAATTTAAAAACTGCCCACATACTATACATAAACACATGTGCATCCACCCCCTTGTAACAATATCAATGTAGTTCATCCCTTATCTGGAATTCTAAAATACTGTACACTAGAATCTAAAGTTGTCCACATGGCTAGCTGAGATAGTGAAATCTTTGCTTTCTGGTGATTCAATACAATAAAACTTTGTTTTGTTTTAAAATAATATAAAATCATCTTCAGCCTCTGAGCACATTTGGGCCCCATCTTCAAGATACAACTCAATGTAAAAGGTGGGCCAAAAATCACAAAGGTGTTTGATGTTTTAGTAACTTTTTGAGAAGACTTTATGTGTAATGTAATGTCCTCTATACAGGCAGACCATGAATTACAAACATCCAACTTACAAACGACTCCTAGTTAAGAACGAGGAAGTGAGAGAAATCTATCTCTATGATGGGAAATTCATTCCTGGAAGTTATGGTGGAAAGGTGTCTTCCCTGAACCTTTCTCACCAATCCTTTTATCCACAACAAGCCAAATTTTTCAAAACCCAATGACCACAGAGACAGGAAGTGAGGTGAACAAGGGCACAGAGAGCAGAACACCACACAGGATTGTTGTAGGTTTTTTCGGGCTATATGGCCATGTTCTAGAGGCATTCTCTCCTGACGTTTCGCCTGCATCTATGGCAAGCATCCTCAGAGGTAGTAAGGTCTGTTGGAACTAGGAAAAAGAGTTTATATATCTGTGGAATTACTAGGGTAACAACTACCATGTCAGACTACACAGAGAAGCCATTGAAATCCACAAGCATGTGGACAATTTCAACAGAAAGGAGGAAACCATGAAAATAAACAAAATCTGGCTACCAGTATTAAAAAACTCTAAAATTACAACAGCACAACAACAGAGAGGAAACAAACAAGGACATCTAATTACCTCTCAACAAAAGATTGCCCCAGGCATTGCCAGGCCATCAAATGCTAATCAAGGTGGTCAGTTGAAACATTCACACCTAGCTCCAGCAGACAAGAATTATTTGTCCCACCCTGGTCATTCCTTTGGCAAGGTCAAGATGACAAACATTCGCTCACTTCATATAATTATAAACTTCTACTTATTATTTCCAGATGACGTGTTCCATTGGTACTTAACTTCTTTCATCTCTTAATGATTTATATATTTATCCCAACTCACAAGGCCTCTAGTCAGCTATGTTTAATTTAAAGTCAACATTTACTTTTCCAATTATTTATGGAACAAGCCACTCCGACCTTTTATTGTTCTATTGAATTTCCCTTGCTGTAGAAATCTCTCGTCAGCATTTAAGGTAAGGCTTTTTTCTGTTCATCTTAAATGCATTTTTATAATTATAATTATATTTTCTCCTAATGGCTGCCACAATTCAACTTGAGAATAAACTTATAGAACATATCTTGTTTGTAACTTGGGGGTGGCCTGCACTTATTATTATTATTGCTGTTTATTTCTACCTGCTTTTTCTCGCCACGGGCAAAGAGGGCCGAAGTTTGCCCATGCCTGCTCTACTATATATGATGCTACGGTATTGTAAATGAAAAACAACAAAAGTTAAAGAAGTTATGACACACCGAAACTCCTTTGGGACTTTGGCAAGTACTCCAAAACGCCAAACACTTCAGGCAAGGAATATTCAGCCTGATAAAAACGCCTTTTCCTACACAAAACCACACACACGCCCCTTTCTCTTCACACGGGCATCACTTGCAAGCATATTTCTTCCCCTCAGATGTCTTTCCCGTGCAGCTTCTATTGTTGAGCTCCCCACCATCACACATTCACTCAAACACAATACAAAGAAGCACAAACAAAAACAGTTCACACAGGGCTGGAAACCCAGCATACTTCTCATCCGTTTCGTGAACATATTTCCCACCACTCTTTACTGTCTCCTCTCTGAGAAAAGGGTCGCTATGTGGCTCCTTTCCCCGCCCCAGAAAAGCTGCCTCAGGAAACCCACGCAGGGGGCTCGAGTGTTTCTCCTTCCCGCGTTTTCGCGCCCCTTCCTCCCCCCTTGGGCCCACCCCCAATATGGCCGCCCAGGCCTGAGGTGCCTCAGACGCCCCCTCCCCATCTCTCCTCACTCGGCCTCTTTACCTGAGGAAGCCCCGCCAAGGAAGCGCGCGGCGAGCGGCTTTCAAACGACCACCCCAGTCGGCGCCGCCACCACGAAGCGGCTGCAGGCCGAGCCGAGAGCGCGCGCGGAGCGGAAACCCCTCAGACTTCAGGAACGGACGGCAAAAGAGAGAGGCCAAGAGAGCGAGCGGCGGTTCGCGCTCGATCCGCCTCCGCCAAACAAAAGAGTCCTTGCAACCCCTCTACCCGCCGAGGCGCACGGCGCATGCGCTAGCCAACTTCCGACACCCCCCCTCCCTCTTCTCCCTCCCGCCCTGACACTCGCCACTCGCCCGCGGCATTCTGGGACCGGATGTGATCGCCCACCCCTTTTCCTTCGCCCCATAGACTTTTAATGAAAGACAATCCACCCACAGTTAGAGCGTCTGTTTCCGGGTTTCTTTCCGTCCTTTTCTCATTTATTAAAAACTAGCCATCCCCTGCCACGCGTTGCTGTGGCGTTACTGTGGCCCAGTCTGTGTATATGTGTGGTGTGTGTATATTTCTGTACATGTGTATATATGTGTGTTTGTGTATATATATGTGGTTTTGCACATGTGTTGTAATGTATTTTTTCCTTTTAAAGTCTCTTCTGCTGTGTTTTCCAGTGTTTTTATGGGTGAAACCTGAGAGGTGTTTTGTGTCCAAATTTGGTCTCAATTCGTCCAGTGGTTTTTGAGTTGTGTTCATCCCACAAACTAACATTACACTTTTATTTATATAGGTAAAGGTAAAGGTAGTCCCCTGATATTAAGTCCAGTCATGTCTGACTCTGGGGTGTGGTGCTCATCTCCATTTCTAAGCCGAAGAGCCAGTGTTGTCCGTAGACACCTCCAAGGTCATGTGGCCGGCATGACTTCATGGAGCGCCGTTACCTTCCCGCTGGAGCGGTACCTATTGATCTACTCACATTTGCATGTTTTCGAACTGCTAGGTTGGCACAAGCTAGGGCTGACAGCGGAAGCTCACACCGCTCCGCGGAATCGAACCTGCGACCTTTCGATCAACAAGCTCAGCAGCTCAGTGCTTTAACCCACTGCGCCACCATGGGCTCCTTTATTTATATTTGTTGCTGTTGTTCATTCGTTCAGTCGTCTCCGACTCTTCGTGACCTCTAGATTCTATTATTCTATTATTATTTTATTATTGTATTACTTATATTATATATTTATTATTATATTATTCTATGTTATTATTATGATATTTCTATGACCCTCTGCGCAAGCTCAGGAACAGTAGCCTAGCTTTTCAGTGCTGGATTTCTAATTATTATTATTATTATTAATGTATTTTTTTGTCTTTTTACGTCCCTTCTGCTGTGTTTTCCAGAATTTTTATGAGTGATGGTCACTCATTGGCCTGGGAGGTGTTTGTGTCCAAATTTGGTGTCAATTTGCCCAGTGGTTTTTGAGTTCTGTTAATCCCACAAACAAACATTACATTTTTATTTATATAGATGTATTTTCTTTGGGCCCTTCCACACAGCCCTATATCCCAGAATATCAAAGCAGAAAATCCCACATTATCTGAACCCAGTTCAAAGCGATATTGTGGGATTTTCTGTCTTAATATTCTGAGATATAGGGCTGTGTGGAAGGGCCCTGAATTCATGCTGCCATATATTCCACTTCAAAGCAGATGATGTGGGATTTTATTCAGCTGTGTGGAAGGGCCCTCAGATAAAAATTTATGAGATGGATTGAACTAAGGAGAGCCAAATTCATGCTAAATTTCCATGGCATGCTAACGCAGAGAACCCTTCCACACAGCCCTATATCCCAGAATATAAAGGCAGAAAATTCCACATTATCTGAGTGTGGACTCAGATAACACAGTTCAAAGTGGATATTGTGGGATTTTCTGCCTTGATATTGTGGGTTATATGGCCTCAGTTATATGAGTCCACAGTGTCATATAATCAAGTTCAAAGCAGATAATATGGGATTTTATACAGCTGTGTGGAAGGCACCTAGGTAAAATTTTATTCTATCCCGCCCTATCTCCCCATGGGGACTCAGGGCGGCTCACAGCATAAAAGGCAAACATTCATTGCCATAAAATAATAATAATAGTACCTGCTTTGATTGAAGTCAATAATCAGAAACTTCTCAAAGCACAGCAGTACAAGAAAACTGCACTCCAAACCAGAGCTGACAGCTGGCACAACAAAGCATTGCATGGGCAGTTCCTTGACAAAATTGAAGGAAAAATGGATAAGGAGAAGACCTGGTTATAACTCACTAATGGAACACTGAAAAAGGAGTCAGAAGGCCTGAAGCTTGCAGCCCAGGAGCAAGCCATCAGAACAAATGCAATTAAGGCCAGGATTGAAAAATTAGCTAATGTACCAAAATGCAGACTGTGCAAGGAAGCCGATGAAACCACTGATCATATCCTGAGCTGCTGCAAGAAAATTGCACAGACAGACTACAAATAGAGGCACAACTCTGTGGCCCAAATGATTCATTGGAACTTAGGCCACAAGTACCACTTGCTAGTAGTAAATAATTGGTGGATCATAAACCTGCAAAGGTAGTGGAAAATGAACACGCAAAAATACTATGGGACTTTTGAATCCAGACTGACAAAGTTTTGGAACACAATACACCAGACATCACGACAGGAAAAGAAAAAAAGTTTGGATTATTGATGTCGCCATTCCAGGTGACACCTGAATTCACAAAAAACCACAGGAGAAAACTCAGCTGTTATCAGGATCTCAAAATCGTCCCTCGTCCCCACCAACCATGTTTGTAGGAGTAGTGGGATCGAGAGCAGGGCCTCCTCTGATGATCTTAAGCTTCGTGATGGTTCATAACAGGAGATACAGGGTTAAAAGCCTTGCCCATATTTACATTCCTATTTCATAAGACCGGATCTTTAACCATTTGAATCTCCATAAGCTTGGGCACATAGGACGGTTTTTATTTGGTTTGTACAGTAAAGGAGGACAGCGATGGGGCCATTCTAATTTCCTTCTGGAGGGAGTTCCAGAGGCTGGAGCAACTGCAGAGAAGGTTCTTTCTTGCCTTTTTCCCATCTCCTCATACAGATGTCAGGAATAAACAGCCGATCTGCTTCAATCCCTGTGTTTCCCAGATACACTAGACGGCCACTTCACCTAGCAACAATCAATCTGTTTCACATCCTCTTATTACATGGACAGATTAGCAGCACTTAGCATCAATCAATCTGCTTCACACCCTCTATTGCATGAGAGGGTCACTTCACCCAGCAACAACCAATTGGCTTCACACCCTCTATTACATGATAGAGGGCCACTTCACCTAGCAAAAGCCAATTGGCTTCACACATGCTATTGCATGACAGAGGGCCACTTCACCTAGCAACAATCTACTTCACACACTATTATACAATAGAGGGCCACTTCACCTAGAAACAACCAATCGGCTTCATGCCTTCTATCTAATGAGAGGGCCACTTCACCTAATGAAGCTGCTTCATATCCTCTATTACATGACAGAGGGTCGCTTCACCTAGCAACAGCCAATATGTGTCACACTTTATTTCCCGGTTACTTGTCGCCACTTCTATCATGGCTCAATGTTATGGACTCCTGAGAGTTGTAGTTTGATGTGGTTCCAGCTCTCTTCGGCAGACAAGGCCAAAGACCTTGTAAAACTGCATCCCAGGATTCTGTAGCATTCATCCGTGGCAGTGAAATCTACAACATAGTGCACTCTTCTTAACTTCCAAGATTCAATGTGTTCTGGTCCCTCTGTGGAACTTTATTATTATTTATTATTATTAAAAAGTTAAAAATATTACAAGGTTGTTGTTGTTGTTATTATTATTATTATTATTATTTATTTATTATTATTATTATTATTATTATTATATGGAACTGAGGTCCAAGTAAGGGCCAAAGACCCAAGACAAAGCCTTGCTGCAAATCAAAACTACATTTCCCAACAGCCCTTGCAACTTGCGCCGTTCTGCGCATGCGTGGACAAAAGAGGCGTGGAAAGAGGGGAAAGCCCCGGGAGCGAACGCCGCCGGGTTTGGGGCGATCACTCTTAAAGGGGCCGCGGCACGAAACTTTGGGGCGGTCGTCGAGATACAGCAAACAAGGCGGTAAACAGAAAGGTGGGTGTTTGGATGGAAACTGGGGGAGCTAAAGAGGTGCCAGAGCCGTCGCTGCCTTTATAACAAAATTGTCACAGGGAGGGAGCGTTGCAGGCGAGACACTTGGGCTGGTGGGTTGATAGGGAGAAAGAAAGAGTGGGTGTGAAGGTGGCCAGTTCTTCTAATGGTTTGCTTGGTGCTCTTTTCTTATGGGCCAGGCTGGAAAGGGTGGGTTGCCACTGTATTGGGGGTGTTTCTGGGTGGGCCTTCAGGTCCTGGGTGGGGCAGTACAGTCATCACAGGGTGCATCTACACTGTGGCTTTAATGCAGATTGGCACCACTTCAGCTGCCCTGTCCCAATGCTGTGGAACCGTGGGAGTTGCAGTTTTGGAAGGCCTTAAGCCAGTAGTTCACAACCTGTGGATCCCCTGGTGTCTTGGCCTACAACTCCCAGAAATCCCAGCGAGTTTTCCAGCTTTAGGATTTATGGGAGTGGAAGGCCAAAACATCTGGGGACCCACAGGTTGAGAACCACTGCCTTAAGCTTTCTCTGCCAAGGAGTGCTGATGCTTCATTAAACTACAAATCCCATTATTTCATTGCATTGAGTCATGGCAGGGAAGGTTGTGTCGAACTGGTTGAGAGACCTCCTTTAGCTTTCTGATGGTTCAGTGCACAGAGACATTACACCGCATAGTTACAATTCATGTATATATGTTATATTCAGGCTATACACACACACACACACTAGCCGTCCCCTGCCACACGTTGCTGTGGCCCAGTCTGTGTATATGTATTTTGTGTGTGTATATATTTATGTATATGTGTATATATGTGTGTTTGTGTATATATGTGGTTTTGCGCATGCGTTGTAATGTATTTTTGTTTTTTGGCTTTTAAAGTCTCTTCTGCTGTGTTTTTCAGTGTTTTTATGAGTGATGGTCACTCGTTGGCCTGATAGGTGTATTGTGTCCAAATTTGGTGTCAATTCGTCCAGTGGTTTTTGAGTTATGTTAATCCCACAAATGAACATTACATTTTTATTTATATAGATTTTCTGTTTTAGCGCCTTTAAAACAAAAGAACCAATGAACAAAATCACACCAAATTTGGCAACAAAACGTCTCACAAAAGGAGTGACCATCACTCAAAAATTATGATTTTGTCATTTGGGAGTTGTAGTTGCTGGGATTTATAGTTCACCTACAATCAAAGAGCATTCTGAACTCCATCAACGATGGAATTGAACCAAACTTGGCACACAGAACTCCCATGACCAACAGAAAATACTGGAAGGGTTTGGTGGGCATTGACCTTGAATTTTGGAGTTGTAGTTCACCTACATCCAGAGAGCACTGTGGACTCAAACAATGATGGATCTGGACCAAACTTGGCACAAATATTCCATATGCCCAAATATGAACACAGATGGAGTTTGGGGGAAATAGACCTTGACATTTGGGAGTTGTAGCTACTGGGATTTATAGTTCACCTACAATCAAAGAGCATTCTGAACCCCACCAATGACAGAATTGGGGCAAACTTCCCACACAGAACCCCCATGACCAACAGAAAATACTGTGTTTTCTGGTGGTCTTTGGTGACCCCTCTGACACCCCCTCAACCCCCCCCCGGGGTCCCGATCCCCAGGTTGAGAAAGGCTGCTTTAAGGCCATCCAGTCCAACTCGCTTCACCAGGGCAAGAAAACATAATCAAAGCCCTCCTGACAAAGAGCCATCCAGACATTCACACACACACATATATATGTATATGACAGATGCAGTATCAAAGATTTGAAAGGGACCCTAAAGAAGGACAATGATATGTTGCATGTTCCAGAGTAGGCAAACCAGACAATCTCCACATCAATACTGGCAAAGGAACAGCAAGAAATACTGTTTACCCACAAGCATAAAGACATTACATATATTGGAAACCAACACTTTCTCATTACTTTATTTTTCAGATTGACAGACTGGGGCACAGCAACACATAGCAAGGGACAGCTAGTAGATATATATGTTAAAAATGAAGGTTTTTAAGGTTGCACGTCCAAAATAGCTTATTATATGTATATATATCTTGTAGGCTGCTATGAGTCCCCTTTGGGGTTAGAAGAGCAGCATGTAAATGCCGCAAATAAATAAATAAATAAATAAAGAACATATATGCAAGTACAGGTCTTTTGAAATCAAAAAACGTTCTGATTCCAGGCATTTTTGAATACGGGATATTCAACCTATATTTCATAACATCAACTGTTTTACATGCAAGCTAGCTAAGCTATTCTTGAACACAGCGTGCAGACAGCACTGTCTCTGAAGAAGCCTATCGGAATTTCCTTCCCCTCCCTATTTCACTTTGCCTATGGGTTTTCCCCGTCTTATGAGTTTGTGGTATCTAGCAATGGGTGAAGCAGGATGAGAAGGCCAGCGTTGTCATTCCTCTACATTTGGCATGGGCAAACTTTCTAAATTGAAGGCCTCATGGCTGGCCAGAGCACAGTAGGTGGGGCAGGAAGGAGGGAGTTCTTCCCAAGTTCCCTCCCTGCCCTTTCCTCCCCTTCCTCTTCTCTTTCACAGGCAAAAAGTGAAGGAAAGATGGGAAACATTTTGATCCCAACAGGGTTGGCGTTGGTCAGGATGAGATGGTGGATGGGAGAGAAAAAGTGTATCCATTAGACCCCATATTGCCTACTCTTGATATAGAATCCTAGAGCTGGAAGAGATCCCCAAGGGTCATCCAGTCCAACCCCCTGCCATGCAAGAAAGCACAATCAAAGCACTCCCGATAAGCAGCCTCTGCAGAAAAGCCTCCTGAGAAGGAGACTCCACCACACTCCCAGGTAGCCTAGGCCACTTTCCAACAGCTCTTAATCTCAGAAAGTCCTTCCTAATCTTTTCAGACAAATCGCTTTCCCTGCCATTTGAACCCATTGCTTCCTTGTGCCCTGGTCTTTAGAGCAGCAAAAGTCAGTTTTCCTTCTCCTCAATGGGACACCCTTTTAAATCTTGAAACATTGGAAGCTTTTAAACAGAGGCTGGATGGCCAGCTGTCAGGGGTGATTTGAATGCAATATTCCTGCTTCTTGGCAGAATGGGGTTGGACTGGATGATGGCCCACCAGGTCTCTTCCAACTCTTTGATTTGTTGATTCTATGATTCGCATGTTCCCTCTCTATCTTCCCTTCTCCCAGCTAAACATCCCCAGGAGGAAAATAGGAAGGAAAAAGAGAAGGAACAAAGGAAGAAAGGGAGGAGGAGGATAGAAGGGGGGAAGGGAATGGAGGGAGGAAAGCGAGAAGGAAGGGAAATCAAAGGAAAGGAAGGAAGGAGAAAGAGAGGGAAGGAGGGAGGAAAGAAAGGAGGAAGAGAAGTGTGAAAGGGAATGAGGGAGGGAAGAAAGAGACAAGGAAGGAAAGACAAAGGAAAGGGAGGAAGAAGAAAGAGAGAAAAGGAAGGGGGGAGGAAAGAGAGAAGGAAGAAAGAGAGGAAGAAAAGGATGGAAGGGAATGGAGGGAGGGAAATTGATCAGAGTGTTGCTCTGGAGGACCTAGAGACTCCTTGAGACAATGCATTAATCAAATTTGCAAATAATATAATCTATAAAAGTACACAAATGTGGACGGTCAACTATATTGTATTGTCCTTCCTGTGTCTAGTTTGGGAGAGGGAGGAATTGAGTACAGCAGATAGGTTCACCCCAGAAACTCTAATCTGTATCAGTTCCTTTTTCAAAACAGAAACACACAATTACTAAAATTCAGAAACTGTGGGTGAGATTTGAATTTCCAAAGCAGGAGAAACCCCAGGCAGGATGTGTTACTGATAGTACAGGTTTGAGAAGACCATGTAATGTTTCTGTTGAATAGTTAGTGGGGACGTAGGCCCTTCCAGACAGGCCCTATATCCCAGGTTTTCTGCTTTAAACTGGATTATATGTGTCCACACTGCCAGATAATCTGGGATAAATAGAAAACCTGGGATATATAGGGCCTGTCTGGAAGGGCCTGTAGGGTGCAACTACACTGCAGAATTAACACAGTTTGACACTAACTGCTATGGCTCAATGTTCTGGGATCCTGAGAATTGCAGTTTGGTGAGGCACCAGCTCTCTTTGACAGAGAAGGCCTTGAAAAACTACAGTTCACATTATTCCATAGCCATTAAAGTGGTGTTAAAGTACATTCATTCTACAGTGTAGATGCACCCAAAGAGTGAAAGATCAGTGGTATTTCTTTGTTTCTCACAGGGCTTCAGATACTGTTGAATTATAATTCACATCATTTTTGGTGACGGCTAGTTGGTGGCAGAGTCCAACAAGATATGGAAGGCAACAAGTCTTCAGCCCTTGATTTAATTTGTCAGGAATTGAAAGTGAGAATATAGGGCATCAATGGTGTTTATTAGTTATTTACTATGCAGTGTTGCTTAAATACCTTCGGACCTGAAGATACCCAATCCCATTTGATCTTAAAAGCTTAGCAGCTCTGGTTAGTTTGGATGGGAGACTGTCAGTGGATACCAAGTGCTGTAGGCTATATTTCTGAGGAAGGAACTCGCAAAACCATCTCTAAGCATTCCTTGCCCAATGTGCTTGTGAAATTCAACGGACGACTTGAAGACATATACATCTGGACCTTTTGAAAGGTCTTTCAGTTGCTGATTTCCAGTTGTTAAATAGGAGCAGCAATAAACATGGCCATTTCAATTACACTCAGGCCACTGAAGTGAGGAATGTTTTAGAGTAATTGGGAATGAGCATTTGTGCAAAAAGACCATAGACTCAGTTTAAATCTGGCACAGAAAGCAAATTCGTCAGCTCACCATATGTTTGGACACACCCTGTTCTTTCATCCCATCTTTTGCTCCTGGCTCTCTATGATGGATCTTAGGATTCTTAGGAGAAAACACAACATAGATTCAACAACCCTGAAGTCAGCCCATCCCTGATGTGGAGCATTTAGTGGACAAATCACTCGCAATATAAGAGGGTTACATGGAGTGGTGATTAAGTGAC